AAACAGTGGAAAAGTGTGGTGACAGAAACAATTACCTCGCCAGGACACATCCCCAAGATTGAGACCTTACTCCCCAGTGCCGTCCTCTTTTAGGCGGCGAATAAATCTTCTATATTCCGTCATCGCCGGAGGAAGTGGCGAGGATGGGGGGGGGGAGGAAGCGGAGGATTTGATTTATTAGAAGTTGAACGGCGAAGAAAAGATCGGAGGAAAAACTTTGAATTATTTCCTATTGATCATGCGGGGTTTTCCCAACGCTCGGGAAAAATCTTTTCCCTTTATGAGACCTCAAAGCGGCTAGCAATAATGTTGGATATTTATTCTGTTCTGTATCCCTCCTCAAACCACTCTCTCTCTCTTTCTCGCTCTTTCTCTCCTTACATTCCCTCCTCCCTCCTTACACTCCCTATATCGTAGCACTTTACAGAGTTGTCAAAGGAGGCTCTGTTTAACATTTAATAAGGGCTTAAAATCCTTCTCGTTTTCCTCCTTGCTTCTTATGTCGCCTCCTCGCCTGCTCAAAGGTAGAAAGCTCTCTGAATAAATAACGTTAAGGATTTACACGTGTGATCCAATCCAATATAACAAAACAAGAAACGGATATTTCCAAAGATATATCCAATTAACTCCTTTTAATTTATATTTACTATTATAAAATAAGGATTTGTTAACTTTAATGAAGTTAGTTTAATAATCCCCGTTCGTTCAACTTCAAGTTTTTTTTTTTTTAAATTAAATTTACAACTGTATTACATTAAAAATACAACAAGCAAATCTGACATTGGTAACATGACATGCAAAACACGAAGAGAAACTACCCATTGGTTGCACTCTAATGATATGACTACATGAGGAGATCACGGGGCCATCTTCTTCTCAGACGCCTCGGAGGGTTATCGGGAATTGAAGAGGAACCAAGGTTAGAAACGAGAGGGTTCGGATGGTTCTGACGTTTGTTATGGAAGGATAGGTATCTGGATTGATCCAAATCGGAAACATATGGAACATTAAGGTCTTTATGGATGATTATAATTGTGACAAAGTAAGGAGCGTTGAGGATTTTACGAAGGATTTTGGATTGTAAGGATTGGATACGAGAGGAATCCGAAGGTTTAGTGGAGCCCCAGAGCTCAATTCCGTAAGTCCAAATAGGTCTTACAACTTCAATTTAAATTAGAAATACGGTAAATTATTTCTATAGTGTCTAAAATATTCCCAGCTAAAATTATTCATGAGATCTCACTGAGTTATTTGAACCATCTAACTTCCTCACACATTTTTTAGCGAATTTGTTGAACAAATTTTAAACAAAAGTTTGTCTAAAGTCATTTTTAAATATATCTATATAACTTAACGGGAGTGACCTCGCGACCTTTTGTAGATTGTATATATTGGAGTTCTGGCAATGGCCAGATTCTCCACTCAAGACATGAGCGTATGTGGATAAAGTGCTCTCGATCAATCTCCGCTGGCTTTAGTACCAGTGACGCGGTTGGGAGAGTAGCGCAGGGTTCTCCTGGAGTTCCCTCACCTGATTGTATATAGGTATGCATGTGTTGTTTTTTTTTCTTAGTTTTAAATTTTTTATTTTTTAGGTTATTTTATTTGACTATCTATTGTATATACTTTTGATTATTATTTTGTTTCTATTTATTTTATTTTTTTTGTAAATATAGTGTGAATGTCATCCTACGTCACTATAACCAATGTCTAAGAGACAGATTGTTGTAATACTCAATAAAGAAATAGAAATCTATATAACATACTTCAACGAAACGAAGCTGGAAAAAAAGTTACGAGGGATGGTAAAATTAAATTCCGAATAACTCAAAAAGTATACACTTTTTTGTCGATATTGTATATGGTTATAAAAGTTTGCGGAATTTCCTAAGGAGCGAAAAAAATTCGTTTAAATTGGACAATTAGGAGGAATGATATGGTTTCTAGTTTGTTTTCTGTTCTGCTGCAAAGGATATATCTTTTGTTTTGGTTTTTGAATTTTGAATGTGTTACTTAGGTAATGCTAATTGTTTTAGCATATTACAAATGATTAAAAAAAAAGGTAACTAGGAAGGTAATGTTACTTTAGATGTATGATTGTTTGGAAATAATAAACCATAGTGAAATAATTTGCTGCGTTTTTTTATATACAATACATATTGTTGACTGGTTAATATTCATTTTTTATGTTATTATTTGTTGTAATGTAAGTATTAATTGTAAATGTGCTAATGTCTAATAGTAAGTCTTCTGAAAGGATTTTTTGTATATTTTTTTTTTCAGATGAAAATTCAAAATATATTGTAAAAACAGATTTTATCCCTGAAGAGGCGAAAATTTGGATAAATTTAAAAAAATACTTTTTTTATTGTTGAGGCTTAAAAATCCTTTTTTCTACAGATATTTGATAAAGTATCTTTCATAAGAAATAAGTACTTTTATTCACAGTTCTATATTTCAACACTGCAATCAACACCTCCGGAATCAACTTACTCACTGTCTGCATAGATAACTTTTTCAACTAAAAATATCACTAAAATGACATTACTCAAAAATGTTGAAATTGGAGTTAGTCATTATGTGGTTTATAAAAGCAAAGAGAGTTGTGTGGTTTATAAAATCAGATGGAGTGACTGGATTTTTATTGCCTACCGTCGATATATTAAATAGGCATTTTTAATTATATTGGTCTTAATGACTTTTTTTCTGTAAGCTTTAAGCTTTACCTCGGTTTAAAATGCACTTCAAAAAATTTTATAATAGTCCAGCATTGCCAGAAAATTGAAATTTCGATTCAAAGTAGAGCGGTAAGTGAAAGTTGTGTGTTGCGCGCACTAGATGTTTTAATTTAAAAATATATTAAGTTATATACTTACCATACTGCTATAGTTGCTCGGCAGCCAGGCTTGCATACTATAGTAGGCGGCAGCTCATTAGCATGTGCTACAGCAGCTAGCAAGAGTGACTCAGGCTGTTCGGACAACTTAGGACCTGTATCCAGTGAGCCACGGCTCTTGGAATGCAGTTTTCTCAGGTTGGCACTTCGTATTCTCAACTCATTGCACTCAGGAGATAAGTCTTTTACTTCTTAGGGAAGAAGAGTTTAGCTAGCCAACGTGATCCTCTAAACAATTCGTAGACAAATAATTACAATCTATAGGTTTTTGCTGATTAACAAAGCATAGCACGATAGGACGTCGGCAATGGAAGCACAATCGAACAATGAAGAAATCAAATATAAATATAGTTGGGAGACCGAATATATCGATAAATAAAGTCTAAATTCATAAAGAAATAATTTAATTTTAATCTACATCAAAAAAACACTGTCTGACTTTTTGCAATAATCTAACGGTACATTCTAATTGACAACTATATTATCTAGATTTCATTCCCAATCGTCCGATTCAGCTTATAACTTGTGTTGCCCAAACGCGAGACCGAGACGAGTCTTGGTCTTGCACAAGAGTCTCGCAACGGTCTTGCAGTTACCTATTAGCTTAGTACTATAGAGATATTACTGTAATTTTTTTAGACAGGGAAACCTAACTAAGCCCGAATGAAAAATTAGAAGAGTTAAAGGCAAAAGTATATTGGTTATAACAATTCTTTACATATAGTATCTAAAATTGTCAAGCATTAGTAACTATTTTGCCTTACAATTTTATTCAAAAAATGGATTTTTTTACCAGTCTTGGTCTTGGTCTTGCAACAGTGAGGTGGTCTAAGACCAAGACTGATTTTGGGCAACACTACTTAAAACGCCGAAGCACTAGATGCCATAACGCCAATAAATGTTTTCATCTAGTGATGGTCATCTTAACCATTTAAATTTTTTTTTTAATATTAGATAAATTCTTAATAATTTTAATAAAAATAATTTCTGGATGAAACAAATTTTCATGAATTTCAGTCAAGATATTTTTATTGGATTAGGCGACGTTTCGAACCAAACCTGTGGATCATCCTCAGAGATATAGGAGGATATATTAGAATAATAGGACTTCTTGTCTCAACTTCCAAACGAAAGGCCTGAAAATGACTCACATGTTTGAGACGAAACGTCGACTAACCCAATAAAAATATCTTGACTGACATTTCTGAAAAGTTTGTATTATAATTGATCAGTCGACTACTTACCCATCTCTAAAAACATTTTTAATTTATGTAGGTATATATTTTCCCTAATTTTAAATATTTATTTGGAATAAATCTGATTCAATTTTTTGAAAAATTGTATAAGTCATTTCAGTAAACGTAGCCTATCCTATAAGTCATTTTTGCTTAATAGTCCGTTGCCGGAGTTGATAGTACCCTATAGTGTATTGAGACATAATTAATACATTTCAGTATTTGTTTGTTTTTTATACTCATTAACTATTGATTCATTACAAAGTAAATGTACAAAATAAAAGTTGTGAAAATTAGAAATTTTTAGGGTAACCTATGATCAATGCAACTAAAAGTTGCCGGACTTAGTCAGAACATAACTCTTCTATTTTTTATCTTAAAAAGCATCAAGCTTATCTCATAGATGATCAATAATTATTTTGAACAATTTGAGTTTGTAGTACCCAACAGCTCAACAATATACCTATTAACACTTCTGAAAACATTTTACAATTTCATACAAATAAACAAAACAGAAAACGTATTTGGAACTGTTAAGAAACATAATATCATGAATTTAATTCAGACTCTTTCTAATCTTTGATTTGAAATAACGCGTTTAAATATTTAATAAAAAGGATATTAGTTTTACTAAAATAATAAAGAAATGGGTCTTAATTCTATGATTATAAAATTCAAAAAAATCCAACAATATATTTTTTTCTAAATTTATTGTTTAGATAAAAGGTTCGGGGTTGTCCTGATACGAACATATGTATTTTTTTTTAATATGAAAACAGTTGTATGAAATTCGACAACTGATGGATGGACGTGCTAACAAGAGAATGGTCATCGAAAGCAATTAGCAATTGAATGGATTTATAATGGATATGGAGAAACCATCGCTTGGTAAGCTTTCGATAAAATAATCATTAGGCAGGAGAAGCGACAAAACCGATGATTGAAGGACTTTATTTTCTGCATTATTCATTTGAATATACAAAATAATGCTTCACACGATTCCACGGCAATATCGTAATTAGAATAAAATTTTTATCTGCACGAAGGATCGCCATGAGAACATATGAAAAGGATAACATGGTCATAATTCATTCTAACAAATTAGTTATCAAAATTAAGGCTGTGAAGGAGGAAAAAAATAATATATATATATATATATATATATATATATATATATATATAATAGAATAGAAAAATAATTTTACAAAGTTCCAAAATATGGGACAAAGTTCCTTCAGAATAACAAAAAAGTAGAGAAATTAAAATTATATATATATATATATATATATATATATATATATATATATATATAGAGAGAGAGAGAGAGAGAGTGAGAGAGAAGGATACAAAGTAACAGCTGATTATTTAAAAAATTTTATATAATTATTATTTTTATTTCTTTTCATTGTACACAAATAATTTTTGAATAGATACCTTTAGCACTAATAGTTATTGCCCTTGGGAGTAGTATATTTTATAACTAATCATTAAAAAATTCAATACTGACAAGCAAAAAAAAATTGTGCTGCTAAAGCACAAGTTGTACCAGCAAAGCTTTTGAGAACGAGGAGGATTTTGAATTTTTGAGAGGACGAATTTTGATAGGGAATATTTGGGAAAAAAAGTTGTATTTTTATGAGATTTCTTGAGGAACTTTCAAACCATAGAACAAGAAGAAAAAGATGTAACAGAACAAATAAATTACAATTTTATATGAATTACATTTGTTTTCTAATTCGACTTCTGGTTGCACTGTTTTTAAAAAGAGGAACTATATATATTTATAGCTTCATGTTATACCATAAACAATACTTTATATAAAAAAACTCCACATATTGAGCTCTTGTTACCTAATACTCTCCTAATTCAAAATAAATATTTTAGACTAAATATTTGTACGGGAAATAATTTATATTTATCTGGAAGTGGTAGATTGATTTTACCTAGGTGACAGCAGTTATTTTTTGATCTAGGCATTATCATATTATATATAATATTATTTATATTACAATGTAATATAATTATAATTATAATAAAATAGAAAAGGAAAACTAATAAAACGAACAAGAAAATATAACAAATAAAATGCTTAAATTATTGTTGGGCTTATATGAAACTGGACAAGTTGAATATATATTATTGTTACAAATTGTAAATAAGAATAATGATGTAGAGATGGTTGACCGTGATATAATATGAGAAGAAGTTGATCGGGGGATGGGAAGGTGGCAAATAAATACTAAATTATAGAAATAGTATTATTTAATTTTTTGCCGACGTTTCAACCCACCTTGCAGGAGGGGGGCGGGGAGGCCGAATAGGCTAAAGCGTGTGTAACAGCACCGCTAGTTGCCTGGCAACCGGATAACAGAGATTTGAGATGATAATAAAGTATGAGTTCGCGTCCCGGTGCCGCGGAGGGGATTTAAAATTTTCCCGCCCTCACCCCCCCGGCCCGGAAAATTCCGTATAGCCTAAAAGGCGAGGTAGGGAAGAACAAAAAAAAAAAAAAAAAAACCCACCTTGCAGGTCTTCATCAGGGATACAAAAGATACAAAACATAAAAGGTACATGGTGAGATATTTATATTTTGTATCTTTTGTAGACCTGTTTTTGTTCTTCCCTACCTCGCCTTTTAGGCTATACGGGACTTTCCCGGGCCGGGGGGTGAGGGCGGGGAAATTTTAAATCCCCTCCGCGGCACCGGGACGCGAACTCGTACTTTATTATCATCTCAAATCTCTGTTATCCGGTTGCCAGGCAACTAGCGGTGCTGTTACACACGCTTTAGCCTATTCGGCCACCCCGCCCCCCTCCTGCAAGGTGGATTGAAACGTCAGCAAAAAATTAAATAATACTATTTCTAAAATTTAGTATTTGTTTGACCGCACTACACGATCAACTTCTTCTCACAGAAATAAGAATTATTATAATTACATAATAATATACATTGGCAATAAGGCGCGATGCATAGAATTGACTTTAAAGAAATTGAAAATTGTCTGAACTGTGGTTTCGTTCAGATTATTTTAAGTTGGTAAAAAATAATACAATAATCTGAACTACAGAATACATGTAAATTACAGTTATAAAACTTCAGCAACGAGCAATTAAATTAAATTTGTAAAATGGGGATTGGTCCGCCGTTAGGCGGTCAGAGAGTACTCCTCTAATCTTGCAAAAAAAAAATATTTTTGAATGTCAAATAAAAAAAATAAAATAAAATGAAATTTAAAAAATAAGATAAGTCACGAGGATGTTGAAGAGCGGTTATTCCTCTTGGCAGCTCTGGTTACATCAATGCCTTATTAGCAAACGGAGCATGGCTTTTTAGGCACCATCCGCTTCCGAGTGTGTCTGGAATTCAGATTTCTTGTTCCAACTAAGAATTCAACAAAATAAAATAAAAAAGAAGAGAAATTGAAAAATAAAAACAAAACGTGAGCATTAAGATGTAGGGCCGGTGAACCCGTCGTGTTGGTATTCACCGCGGCTAACTTGTCCTCTTTACTTTCCACGAATTCTTAACTTGGAGCTTTCGGCTTCCTTTACAGATCCGAATCATCCTCATCCAGGCTGGTTTAAAATATAATTTAAATAACAGAAATAACAGAATAATATCCTCGGTTCAAGCAGAAAGATATCCTGCAGGATTATTTAATTAGGCCCTAAATACCTCAGGTGTCGGTAGCAAATGCTCGCAAGACGGACATTCCTTTAGAGTTGGAGAATTCGTAGTATTTTCAGGATCAACATTTTGCAAATCTGTTTCTGTCTTAATTAGTCGTTGAATTTTTCCTTATATTCGTAAATATAAAAGAGTTATAATTCGTGATACAAAACCATTTTTATCAAATTATCAACATCCACCTGAACCTTCGTTAATAACTTAATCTCATCGTAATCTACAAATATTTTATTTGCGAAAATTATCGAAATTAAGGTATTTTCGATAATTAGGTCGGCAAACTTTGTCTATTTAATTAGGTACTAAAAATTCGTAAATACCTATTTGCTTTCCACGGGGAAAAGGTGGCCTTGAACAACACGGAGGCCAAACGGCTCAATATTTTTGTAGGCCACCTTTTTTATCAGTTTTGTGATCAAATTATCTTACAATCCAAGTGGAAAGAAAATGGGTATTTACGAGTTTTTAATACATATTTAAATAGACAAGGTTTGACGAACTCCAGATTGAAAACGCCCCAATTCCGAGACTTTTCGTAAATAAAACATTTGTAGGTTACGATGAGATGAAGCTATTAACGAAGTTTCAGCCGGATGTTAAGGAAAAAAACGAAAATTGTATTTACAGAGGAAATAAATAATTTTTTTTTAATTAATTGGACTGCTCATGCTGAAATTCCTTTCACATGTTTTGTTTTTGAACATTTTATATTTCATTTATCAAAATAATGTGGAGAAGAGAAGAAAAATATTGATAGCCTTGAAAAACTTATTCCAATACAATAACTACATATTTCTTAACCAATTAATTCAATTTGAATCTGCTATAAACAAAATCTGGTGTTTCCAGTCACACGACTTTCCTACCTATTTCAGAAAAGTTTTTTTATCTTTAAACATGTACATCAAGAAAAAAAATTGAATTAGATTTATTTTTCTGAAAATCGATAAAAGAAAAGATTTGGATACGATTTATTTGATAAACTGAAGCAATGTAAACCGGCTGAAGGTAGATCAGAGCAAAAATTTCAATACCCTCTAATATTGCTGAACAAAAACTTTTTAGCATAGACTAATTTTTTCAAACAATAATTTCTGTTAAAAGTAGAGGAAATAGTGAAGCTTGTGTGATGCAGGAAACAGATTTTCTTACTTTCACTTAGTTATCTTTTTTCTCTCATCATCCCTTTCTGACACCACGATATGTACCTGTAATCTTACATTGGAAATTGAATCGCTGTAACTCTCTTAATAGTTTTCCGAAATCAACGATTATTATATAGTTTTGCAGGGAATTTCATTACCTTTTATTACTCAGGGGTCTCGAAAAGATATATATCCGTCGAAAATCGCATATCGAAAATTTGACCCGATCGCAATACTATCCTTACCTAGTATAGATAGGAAATTAAAAAAAAAAAACCCTATACCACTACAATCCATGAAAAGTCTTGAGTTCAGTACTATTTAGAGTAAGTAGTGTTTCAAGGACAACGATTGTGCAAGGAGGAGATCGGGCCAGGATCAATCACCAGGTATTCTCCCATAATTAATTATTTAATTAAGGGTATTTACATTGTGGAGAATGGGTATGTCCCACGAGAGTCTCCCTACCCCACTGTCGTCCCACGACCTATGAAACAGAATAAATATTTTTTCTGCCATGAGCTGGGATTCGAACCTGAGAACTTGACCATTGGAAGCTTAGTGCCCTACCACTCAGCTACTCTGCTATAGAGTTCCGTAAAATACAAATTACTATAATACGGCCTATTTGGACTTACGGAATCGAACTTTGGGGCCCCCTTAAACCATCGAATTCTCGTATTCGTATTCTTCCCTTACAATCCAAAATCCTTCGTAAAATCCTCAATGATCCTTACTTTGTCACAAATAAAATCATCCATATTGACCTTAATGTATCATATATTTCCGATTTAGCTCAATCCAGATACCTATACATCCGTAATAAACTTGTGAACCATCCGAACCCTCTTTGTCTCTGAAAAGAAGATGGCCCCGGGACCTTCTAATATAAGGTTGGAGTTCTACCAGTGGGTAGTTTCTCTTCATGTTTTACATGTCATGTTAACAGTTTCACATTCACTTGTTTTATTTTTTATCAACAGTTGTAAATAAAAAAAGAAAGTGTTTGTCTTATTTTGATTGAGACTGAATTATAAAACGTTATTTTATATACTTAAGGCTTTGATCCTAAACAAATATAATCCATGGATACAGTTTAGCAAATAGTGTGCTAACTAAATAGCAAACAGGGAAGAGGGTAGCAGCTACTAACAGAGGGCTACAGGTGGCGCTCCGCATTAACCGTCTCATTAGCTCACTCTCTTGCGGTCTCTCTCTGCCTCTTTGTGTCTCTTCTTGTTTGATTGGCACACACACTATCTTCTCTACTAACTGATACCTAGTTAGTTCGATAAACTGTAACAAATCGATCCTTTGAAAAGATTAACTATTAAATTAAAATTTAAAAAACTATTAATTACACCTATTCAGTTCTAAGTGAAACTCCTAGATGAACACACCTCCCTGATGAAGACCTGCAAAGTCGGGTCGAAACGTTGGCTTTCAATAAAATAGTTTTACCACTATTTAGCCTATTTATGACCGCAACCATAGACCATCTCCTTCCTTTATAATGCAACGGTCAACTATTAAATATTCAATATTAATTACACCAGTAATACGGCTGTTTTTGATGCGCTGGGATCATCTAGAGTCCTGCCTTTCCTTCTTCGATTGGGGAGAAAGGCTTGGATCGGAGATCTTGGGTGAATGATTTTTTATTTTTAGATATTGTATAGAAGCGTGTGGGTATGTGAGTAGATGTTTTTAATAGTTTAGTTAATATACATTTATTTTTAGTATTATTGTTTTTTCTGTATTATTTATTGTTGATAGAGCGTCAATGTGCTGTCTGAACACTACTATAAATGTCCTTATTTGTGACAGATTGTAATATCTCTCTATAAATATGGTTAAAAACTAAAATGAAAAATAATTACAAAACCTTTTAGCCAAGATATTTACTATAACACATATTTTAGAAGAATGGCCATTTTAAATCATAAGCTTAAACAAAATTGGTAAACCCCTAAAAATATCAGCACCCAGGGAGAAAAAGTGACTAAAGTTATTAATTTACCAGACAAAGAAAATCTTATAAAATATGTTTAACAAGTTTTCAACAAATGATTCTATAATAATCCCTTATTATTTTTTTTAACTTTTTCTTTATATCTTTTTAAATTCATTATTATTATTATTTGACGCGAAACAGCCCTGAAGGACTACGCGACTATGATACTGGTTTCTTTTTCAATTTCTTCCTTTCTGCCCATCTCTGCTTGAGGATATCGCTAAATTTTTTCTTCCTCTCCTACGTCCACTTCCTCCTGGACGGAAGTTCCTTACTGTCCACCAGATGCACCGCACTTTTCAGGAATTTCTTGTATTCTGTCCAATCACCACATAATTCCCGTGTTATCCCTAGCCTCTGTATTTTCTGTTTTATTTGTACAGTATATCCATGGTTAAACTTGTATCCCATAACCCTACTGAAAATCTTCTTGTTTAACCTCTCCTAGGTCTTTTTTAATTTATTTATATATTCATTTTATTACTTCCTCGCATGGATACACCATTCAGGGATACAAAAATTCTTAAAATCTATGATTTTTTTAGTTGCCAAAAGTTCTTCTGAGATGGCAAAAATGGCTTCGAAATTTTCGCTTTTTACATGTTTGTACTGAAAACTTCTTCCACATATTTTGGACACAACTATGAGGATTAATATTTGTGAATGACAACAAGACACATTTTACTTGGAATAAAATATAATTGCGTAATTTAAATGCAAGTCCTCTCCTGCTATGAATAACCTTATTATAAAATGTACTTATATTATTATTACAGAAAATGAATAAAAAACACCTATGTTTTCGAACATCGATATATCAATATTTATTTTCATCCTAGCCAATGTTTTTAAAAATGTTTTTATTGATTTCTTATTTCCACTTGTTAGTCTTTAAAATAAAAGTAGTTTAAAATTTTAAAAATGTCGTCCCAAATTTGACGTTCGAAATGCGCTTGTTAACGGAACACAAGCATGAAAATTATTCCGTTTGTTATTTGTATTTTATTCAAAACATTTTATAATTATGTAAGCAACTTTTAAGAAACTATTATTATTATTTTTTAGTTCTTACACAGTATAATATAATGAATGAACTGCGCAATACGTTTTGTCTTCGTAATCTCAAGAGATACGCATATAACCCAGTATTACACCAAGCTGAAGTGGCTCTATCCATCCAACCGCCGTCTGTACTTCCTTGCTACCTTTCTATACCAAGCCATCAGAACTCAGAGACCTTATTATATTTTTCACACCGTACAATTTAAATATTCCATTCAATCCCGTCCCGCTATATCCCGTACTTCTGACCTCTATCCACCTCCTCAGCGAACTGCTGCGTTTGACAAATCCTTTATAATTCAAGCCGTCTCCAACTGGAATACCGTCCCTCCCGATATCCGACATGCACAATCAGTTTCCTCATTTAAATCTCTCCTTTTTAAGCACCTACTTCTTTCAAAATCCGATTGATCATGAAAAGTAGATAAGAGAACTTTTTAAATTCACCCAGAAATGATTTGGTTTACTTATATTATTTTATTTTCATATGTTAGTATTATATATATATATCTGTATGTATTTAGGGTTTTTGTTTTATTTTTCTTCCAATATTTTAATTTTAATGAGAATTTTATGGCCACACAGGCATTTCCTCTGTATCTATAATTTGTCCTAAAGGGACAACAGTTCTAGGATGATAAAAATCTATTTTCATTTCATTTCATATAGTAAATGGTGAAGTGCATGGACATGACTGTAAAGTTTCCCGAGCCTAGTAAACTATCGCAAGCTGCTCCAAGACCATCCTATTACCAGCGCCTCGGCCAACAGCACTCAGCGCTCCTCGAGACAGCTTCAAGAACCAATTAGCGGCTCTCCAGACCCAGAGGACTCCAGCTCACCTTGACCCAGACCTTGAGGACTTCGACCTCCTGAGGAATGGGTTCGCCGAAGCCATCGGCATTCAGGACCTCCCCGGTCATCGTGACCGCCGCTTCCATTAGCAGGAGGATTCATTATTGATAGTTCTCGTCTGGGAGTGACTTCTCAACATTATCTTACAGAAAGTGAACTGTAGGTGATTTTTTTCTTTAAAAAAAACTTTACAACATTGTAACATGACATGCTACTTAAATATTTATCTTATTTTATTGAAAACTCTTTTTATATCAATCTATGTAGGATGTTTTCTAAAATCTCTATGGCTAATATTCCGTGACGCAGGCACCTTTTTATCAAATGATTAATATACAACTTTTTATTAAAGGAAATTCTCGGAATTCGACCACAAAATTGGTTCGATTGGCGTGACCTACACCCCTAACATTTCAAAATAACAAGGTTGTATAGATCAAATCACCCAATTTTTTTGTATGCCATATTTATTCACGATTTTGTGATTAATATCTTATGATTCAAGTGGTAAGCAAATGAGTATTCATGAGTTATTAATGAGAACACGCCCTAAATTTCTGAGAATTTTCGTAGATAAAAAATTGCAGATTAGAACAGAATAAAAAATAATTTTATTCTGGTACGAATTACCTTCAGAATAACAAAAAATTACAAAATTAAAATGTTGTATCTGGCCAAATAAAAACAAACATAAAAAGTAAAGGTAAAGCAAAATCAGTAAAGAAAATATTAGTTTTACATACTATATACAAAGTAAAAAATAAAAAAAATCTATATACAAAACTCTTGAAACCTTGCCAAGACACTTAAAACTACCTACAATTGTAAAATATAAATATATACTTTTAGAAAAAAAAAAAAAAAAAAAGTCGAATCTGCTAATAAGCATTCCAGTTATGAGCTATATGTAAATACATTACGATTACGATAAGATGAAGCCATCCACGAAGTTTTAGGTGGATGTTAATCATTTGGTAACAAGGGCTCTGTATATTTTACTGTATATTATGGTGACAGAGGACTAATATATTTCTGTCTAATGTTTTCAGTTTGCTGTAGAGTAAAGAGCTATTGAAGGATAGGGTTCCCACTTTATATAGGATGAGAGTACTCACAATTAGGAGGTTCTTTCAAACACGTAGTGGACCCAGGGCAGGTGGCAGAGAATATAATTGTTTTACCGCAGCGAAGGTCGCACCTGTTTCGGGAGTTAGTTCAGTCCTTTTAAGACTGAACATTTTAAAGTTTTTATTTTAATATTAAAACATTATAGAAACATATAGGAATCATCTAGAAGCAAACATATCGGAATAGAACGAAAATAAAATCCACAATGGTGACTTTCTAACTTAAGAAGACGACAATATTATATTCCCACTAGTGTTGTCGAGATGCAAGACGAAGACTTGTCTTGGTCTTGAGCAAGAGTTCTGCAGTTACCTTTTTGCTTATTGTTGTTTATTAAACTAGTTAATTTAAATCATAGGAAAACGCTACGGAATAAGTAGATTTAGATGTTTTATTGACACAATAATTTAAAAGTCCAACCAAATTGATAAAATTGACTTAACAATACATTTAAGGCATTGTCAAGAAAGGTAGTATAAGCTCCCACCTTGGAATGTAAGAGTTGTAGAGTTAAGACCATCTTTACAGTGTCACCAATTACTTATTTTAAAAAATATGGTATGTCCACTCACATGACTTTCATATCGATTTTTAAATTCTTTTTTTAATTTTAAATATGTTCATTAAAAATACACAATTGAATTAAACTAACTTTTCTGATAACCGATCAGAGAAATCACTAGAGTACGATTTCTGTGATAAACTAAAGCAATGTAAACGGACAAGTGAACAATAATTAAAATCCTTGAAGAAAGTTAGTCGACTGTTCTACATATCATGGGTGATAAATATTCAGGACGCAGTCTTTTTTAAAAAATTTTTGCCAACGTTTCAACCCAAACATGTGGGTCATCTTCAGGGCGTGGTTTAAGCACTGAGGTTGTTCATGTACTCTGAAGAACCTCATGAACAACCTCATACTTAAACAACCTTGAGTACATGAACAACCTCAGTGCTCAAACCACGCCCTGAAGATGACCCACATGTTTGGGTTGAAACGTTGGCAACATTTTTTTAAAAAAGACTGCGTCCTGAATATTTATCACCCATAATAATTAAAATCAGTGTTTGAAATTCAATACAATGCAACGTTGATAAAACTGGTCCGATTTAAGACGATTTTTTAATAGTTTTGTTGTAAATTCAATAATTTTTTCAAAAATCAGCTTGTCTGATTTGGCTGAAGTTAAAAAAATATTAGGAACTAAGGAGGTAAGTTTCTAAACTTATCACTAATTTCATCGATCGATTGAATTTGGATTCAATATCGGTAGGTAACAAAATATATGAAAAATAAAATAAGTATATATTAGAAAATATCTACCTACTGATTTATTGAATTGAATAAATATATATAAAAATAATCTGTAATATGTATGTATAAGAAAAATGAGAAATAGCAATTTTGAAGTTACATCTAACGGATCCATCTAACCCAATAATCGATGGAACCAATAAGTTATCGATAAGTCAACCGATAAATAATAAGTAAATGTGCCAATCTTCATATTTACCTATACTGAACCTACATGGTTCATTTAATACATGTTTAAACATACATGGTTAAACATTTTTTTTAAGTAGAAAATTCTTAAGTCGCCTTTTGCATTTTTTTTTGTGGTGAATAAGATTGAGCCGTCAGATCTCCTATGTGTAACCACCATGATGTTAGTGAGGGAAATCTTAATCATTTCATCTCCTTTATAATGAGCTACTATTACAGAATTGTATTTACTTTATGCGAAGCCGCGTTAGAGAGACTGAAAGTGAAGAAATTTTGTTGAATGATGATAACGAATTTGATTGAAGATATGGATTAAAATATCTCAGAAACTAAAATTCGGACCTGCATATTGTAAGCGAGAGAATTGCTCAGTATTTCATCCTCTATTTAATGAGCTATTATACATGATTTATATTTCATATTATTAATCTCGCTTTGTTGCTGTTTTCACTGCTATTGTGTGGTCTAAAGTACACACTTTCGGTTTTATTCTTATTTATTTTCATTGATGAAAAATATAAAATCTGGTGTGTCCACTCAAACGACTTTCCTACCTATTTAAGAAAAGTTTTTATATCTTTACATATGTTCATGAAGAAAAAAAAAAATTAAATTAGATTTGTTTTCCTGAAAATTGAAGATTTGAGGACGATTTATTGGATAAACTAAAGCAATGTAAACCGGCTTAAGGTAGATCAGTGTAAAAATTTCAATACTCTCTAATATTACTGTTCAAAAACTTTTTACCATAGCCTAATTTTGTCAAACAATAATTTATATTAAAATTAGAGGAAATAGTGAAGATTGTGTGATGCGGGCAACTTACTTACTTTCACTTAGTTATCTTTTTTCTCTCATTCACCCCTTTCTGACACCAGGATATGAATCCGTAATTTTACATTGGAAATTGAATAGGTGTAACTTCATTAATAGTTGTACAAAATGAACGATTTTTATATAGTTTTGTAAGGAATTTCATTTAATCTATATATATAAAAATGAATGTATGCCTGTTTGTCCGTCTGTTTGTCCTTAGTGCATTACTAAACCATTCAACCGATCGCCACGATACTTTGGGAAGTTGTTCCGTACACTCCTGGGAAGGTTTCTGGCATAGTACTTCTGTCTTACGATAATTTTATATATGTAAAAAAAATAAAAATGTAAATGTTTTTCTGTTCAAAGTCACAAAAAATGTGTCGCTATAAACTGTAGCGCCAAAACGGCTTTACCGATTTTAACGAAACTTGGCTAAAGTCTTCCCCTTGAAACCCTTTTAATTTATGTATATAACATACTTTCCCGAAAACAAGCTGAAAAATGTTACGATGAATTCAATATTTTATTTGACGATAACTAAAAAAGTACACAATTTTTGACTGATAATACCCACATTTATGTACGTCAATACTATTATACGTTTTTTAATTAATTTTTTTATTTAGTTTTATAAGTTCAACTCAGACTGTTTCTGATGATTATGAATGCTCAATTTGAATCATTTAGAAAAAAAACATTTAGAATTAGTTTCAATTGAAGCCATTTTACAGACAAATGTGTTTCCCAACTTTTTAAAAATGATAGATGTCCTTTGCTACTAATCTACTCATATGTGCTTTCTATTTTCATTCTTTTTCATTTTGCCAGGCTAAGCCACAGCAGCGCGTGGCCGCGTAAAGCTAGTTAAAAATAAAAATAAAACAGACCTTTTCGCAAGACAGGCAGACCAATGGCTAAAAATGTGTTTTTCGGAATCAGGGTTCTCTGAAACGTATAGATTCGTCGAAAACCGCATATCGGAAATTTGACCCGATCGCAATACTTTCCTTACCTGGTATAGGTAGGAAAGTAAAAATAGTAACTAGGTATGCATATGATGATTCCTGAATACATTCAAAATATAATGCATACATCAATAATAGTGAACCTCACAACCTCACTCAAACCGCTCAGTCAAAGTTTAGTATATAACAGCTGACAGACTGGAAACTCCTAGCATGTTCTGTGGCGATGACATATCGCGAAGGGAATCAATATGCACCGCGATCAAACAGACACGATATCGCCATTCCATCGTCGTGTTCTTCCTTAAATTAGTAATAATTCTGAATTATTTAGGGGTACACAATGCACAATGAGGCGAAACAATTATTTTCCTATCTTCTACATATCAATGATATTATGTTATCCTAAAAATTAATGACATATTAATATGGAATTTTATAATAAACTATCAAAGTATCTTCGCCATGTTAAAATAAATAGTTTTTATTTAGTATTCATGTATATATCTGCAATTTACTTTAATTAACACCACGGAATTTAAACAAACAACAGAAAATACTGTACTCACTTTTTTCTAAATCGAAATTGAAAGTTCGACAAAAAGTAAATAAACATACTTCTCTCAGATTTACGGTTCGACGAAAAAGACGCACTTACAAAAACTACAGTCAT